GGATCCAACGGGCCTGTACCTGGGTAGTGTGAGGAGGGTTCCATCTTGCCTGTACCTGGATAGTGTGAGGAGGGATCCAACGGACCTGTACCTGGATAGTGTGAGGAAGGATCCAACGGGCCTGTACCTGGGTAGTGTGAGGAAGGATCCAACGGGCCTGTACCTGGGTAGTGTGAGGAGGGATCCAACGGGCCTGTACCTGGAAAGTGTGAGGAAGGATCCAATAGGCTGTACCTGGAAAGGTGTGAGGAAGGATCCAACGGGCCTGTACCTTGGTAGTGTGAGGAGGGTCCCAACGGGGTGTACCTGGATAGAGTGAGAAGGGAGGAAATCAGTTGAAGATAATAGTTTACAAAAAGAAAAAAGTAGTGGAAATCTCTAACTGGATGACATTTAGTTTGCTCTGTAGATCAAACAGTTGCCTTTTTTTCATAAATTTCTGAGAAAGTAGAAGCTTCTAAAGTGACTGAGACAGTAGAAGCTTCTAAAGTTTGTCGTTTCTGATGTCGACGTTTTCCAGGATGTTTCAGTACAGAGGACAGGACTCGCCATTCCGAGCTGCAAAGCTTTGGATTTGAAGTTTAGTGGTCCTTGGTGACCACGTTGTGGACAAGCAGACCTAATTGCTGATTTGTAGTCGGTGGCAGCTTTGGCCGTCGCTGGCCAGCTATGGAGCGTGTGATTGTGTACAGTAAAAGTGGTCGCTTTGACTTGCTTGTGGAACAAAGTAAAATAATTTTGGAGCTGTAAATGTAGCCAAAAAAGTTATAAAAGTTTTTGTTTTTTTCCCCCTGACCATCCTGTACTTCATTGGGTGGCAGCAGAGCGCTCACATCCATCTTCGGTGGTTGACACAGAACGAAAACAGTAGCACAGTTGTGGACGGCCCTTTCGCGACCGCAACTGGAACTAAATAAACTTCAAATGTATTTTTGTTTTTCATGATCGGCTTTAATAGTAGCGGCTCTGTTCACCAAGAGGTTGAGCAATCACTGCAGAATTCGTCTGAAGTCGGAGTCTTTCCACAGCCCCATCAGCGTCCTGTTTTCACAGATATATTTGGATACTGAAATACTTTAATGGCAGAAATGTCTCATTCCAAAGACCAGGCAGTTCTTTTTTTGTTTTTTTTTGTTCTTGCAAATGATTTCTTGGAAAATAAGGTTCCCATTCAAGCTGAATGAGCATGTCGGTGGATCTCCCTGCTCATTGGCTTCACTGAGCGAAGACACTGTGATCCAAAGTGAATTTTTGCAGCGCCGCCAAACACTTACAATTGATTTGGTCTGCTTCTAGTTTTCAGGTTTTTAACTGTATTTTTAATGTCTTTGGTGATTCCATTTTTTTTATTTCATAAAAATAAAACTTTACAAGGTTTATTTTCCCCCCCGTAGTTTGTGTCTCTGCCCCTCCCACAATGGGTAGATTTCCCTGCAGTAGTTTGTGTCTCTGCCCCTCCCACAATAGGGAGATTTCCCCCAGCAGTTTGTGTCTCTGCACCTCCCACAATGGTGATATTTCCCCCCAGTAGTTTGGGTCTCTGCCCCTCCCACAATGGTGAGATTCCCCCCAGTAGTTTGTGTCTCTGCCCCTCCCACAATGGTGATATTTCCCCCCAGTAGTTTGGGTCTCTGCCCCTCCCACAATGATGAGATTCCCTCCAGTAGTTTGTGTCTCTGCACCTCCCACAATGAGGAGATTCCCTGCAGTAGTTTGTGTCTCTGCCTCTCCCACAATGATGAGATTCCCTCCAGTAGTTTGTGTCTCTGCACCTCCCACAATGGGGAGATTTCCCCCCAGTAGTTTGTGTCTCTGCCCCTCCCACAATAGGGAGATTTCCCCCCAGTAGTTTGTGTCTCTGCCCCTCCCACAATCGGGAGATTTCCCCACAGTAGTTTGTGTCTCTGCCCCTCCCACAATGGTGAGATTTCCCTGTAGTAATGATTCAACTTGCCAACATCCAATCTCCACCAATACACCAGTTTTGGTAGTTTTGTCCTGTAAAAAAAGTGTCCATCGAAGTCCGTGCACCTCATCTGTAGAAGACAAAACATTTTCAGACACAAATTACCTTTTTTTTTTTTTTTTTTTTTACACATTTTATTTTTTCTGGTGTCAGTAAAGAATCTCGCTGTTGTACTTTGAATGCTGCAATGTAGAAAGAACAAATTTCTTGTCCCGGCAGACAGAGCGGAGGGTGTCTGGGAGTATGTTGGAAAAAGTGACTTGTTTGCCCCGAATTTTCAAACACGGGATGTTATTGGCACTGAAACTGTATTCACAAACGTCACCCGTTGTCAGTGTCGGGTTTCTTGTCACTTCTGTTTTTATAAAACAATTTGTTAAAGTTTCTGGAAGAAAAAAAAGAAAATGAAGTAATGTGTCTTCTACGTTAAACTTTCATAGCAAATCCCGACCTTTCAGTTGTAAAATATGCGTAAAATATATATAATATCTGTCCTCTAAATGGAGAATTTAAAAAAAAATGTATTTCAACTTTATTGAAACAACAAATAAACAGAACAACAAATCAGAAGGAAAATAAGTCCAATGTACAAAGAGAATAAAAGATTATTATATGGTACGAGATCACTCATGCCCAAAAAGACCAGGAAAACATTAGGACGGGGAACAAGAGAAATGGGCAGGGGAATGACGAAGACCAACTCTGGCTTTGGTAATTGTCAAAAAGCACCTGATCATTATACAGAAGTCAGAGATGGCAGCCATTAATTGAGAGAACCATAAGATGCAACTAGTATCGCACATTGCAATACAACTGGAAAAAAATAAATAAAATTGGCACGATAAGTAAACACAAACACAATATGAATCGGAGGCTTCAAGTCCAACCAGCTTGCCCAGATGTAATAAAAGGAGGCATAATCATCACGATTAGAATACAATAGTTCTTCTAGAAGTCTAGTAGAATCTGCAGCGCTGAATACTGAAAAAGGGCCTGGATGGGAAGGGGGTTTAACACCGCGGATGTCAACTGGTTAAGAAACCTCGGATATCGAGGGTACTCGAGTTGTCCTCCAGTATCTGGGTATCAGTGACTTGGCAGTGTTCAGCATTAAGGAAACCAAAGATTTCTTATATGTGCGAGGCGAATCCGAGGTAAGGTGAATAAGGTAGATCCAAAAGTCTAAGGGTAACCGCACGCCACACACTTGGTGAATAATAGAAGTCCAAAAGGGTTTAATCAAGGGACAGTCCCACCATATGTGGGTGAAAGTACCTGGAGATCCGCACAACCGCCAGCAGTGAGGTTCCTAATGAGCTCTGGATACGTGTAATTTAGTAGGGACATTATACGATCTGGATAATAAGTTATAATTGGTCTCCAACACGGGGACTTCAATAGAGGAAGAGGTTGCTAAGGATAATATTATATTTGTAGCATCAGGGATAAGTTTGTGTTTCAATTCCATCTCCCATTTGCCAGAATAAATGATGTTTTGTGGTACTGTGGTATAGTTCTTATTTATTCTCATTGGTAAAAAAAATATACACACACAAATACATACATATATATATATATGTATGTATCTTAAAATGAGTTCCTTCTTTTTTTCTTCCTCCTAATAAAATAAATGCATGTATCTTTCAAACCGGAGTTTTACGTTGTTTCATGGTTACAGACACAATTATTTGTCTGTGTATTTATTCCCGTGTTGTCGTGTTTCAGTGTTAGAGGTACAAATAACTAATTGCAGATAAAGTAGGATGGAAGGATGAAGTAAACGTCTACAAGTATATAGAATGCATTGTAATATGTTAGTTATTACTCAGTATATTAACATGTCGTTAAGATCTGTGACTGGAAATATCTCAGCCGTATGTTATTTTCCATTAACCTGTGGATATCTCATTTTCGGGTGTCTGACCAGGTTAAAAATAAATAAATAACGCAAATAAAAAAAAGTAAATATTTTGTCTCTGTGTAATTGTTCTGTGCAAGGAAGTCTTTAGGCTTTACTTATAATTTTGCAAACTGTTTTATCAAAAGTACTCAGGAATTTCATATCCACAGATAGTAGTGGTAACAATGCTAATAGTGGTGGTTGTTATACTAATAGTGGCAATAGTATTAGCAATTTCAGTGGTAATAGTGGGGGTGGTAGTACTAGTAGCAGTAATAGTATTAGTAGTGTTGGTGGTAATCGTTCTGTAAGCAGTAGTGGTAGTACTAGTTGTGTTTAAAGTATTAGTAGTATCTATGGTATTAGCAGTGGTGGAAATATTAGTATTGGTAATAGTATTTGTATTGTCGGTGGTAATAGTGGTCATTGCAGTGGTGGTAGTACTAGTAGTGGAAATAGTATTAGTCGTGTCGGTAGTAATAATGCCAATTGTTGTGGTGGTAGTACTAATATTGATAATAGTATTAGCAGTGTTGGTGGTAATAGTGGTATTAGCAGTGGTAGTAGTACTAGTATTAGTGGTAGTACTAGTAGTGTCGGTGGTGGTAGTACTAGTAGTGATAATAATAGTAGTGTCGGTGGTGGTAGCACTAGTATTGGTAATAGTAGTGTCGGTGGTGGTAGTACTAGTAGTGATAATAATAGTAGTGTCGGTTGTGGTAGTACTAGTAGCAGTAATAGTATTAGTAGTGTTGGTGGTGGTAGTACTAGTAGCAATAATAGTATTAGTAGTGTTAGTGGTGGTAGTACTAGTAGCAATAATAGTATTAGTAGTGTTGGTGGTGGTAGTACTAGTAGCAGTAATAGTATTAGTAGTGTTGGTGGTGGTAGTACTAGTATTGATAATGGTATTAGTGGGGTCGGTGGTGGTAGTACTAGTAGCGGCAATAATATTAGTAGTGTCTTTGGTATTAGTGTTGGTGATAGTATTCTCGTTTCAATAATGGAGAACCTTTTTATGTAACTTGGAACTAGTTGGAGACTGTGTGTCTGTTTGATTCCACATGAGGGACAAGTGCACCTTGTGTATTTGAGGACAGTCCCTTTAACTTTCTCCTCTCTCTCCTCCCTTAGGGACCCCTGAGAGTCTGGCGGAGAAGGAGCGGCAGTTGATGGCAATGATCAATCAGCTGACCAGTCTTCGGGAACAGCTGCTGGCAGCACACGATGAGCAGAAGAAGCTGGCCGCCTCGCAAATGGAGAAACAGCGCCAGCAGATGGAGCTGGCCAAACAGCAGCAAGAACAGGTGAGCCCCGGCGACCGATTGATGGCCGCTGTCCGACCGCATGTCCCCTGGATGCCGGCACTGCGTCCTTCCTGGTGTGTATTAAGATACGTACCACACATGGAGGTTAAATCAGTATGCCAGGAACCGTGACCGGACGGGTAGGAGCTCCGCGTTTGCCATCCCTACACAGCAGCTTCTGTTCATGTTGTCTTGCAAAAGCCTTTTAGACAAAACTGAACATGGCACACTTAAAGGGTTTACTCCATGTAGAAGCCATAATTCAATGTCTGAAGGATGGCGGTGACATCTCTGCACCATGTTCCTGTGTCTGCACAAAACTACACCCCAAGGTGGGCAGGAACTGAGCCAGGAACTATGGCATTGAAATCTTACTGCTGGAGTACCCAAGAGATATAAGAAGCAGGAGAACAGCTCAGCTGTCAATAATTTAAAAATTATTGTTTTTAAAGCAGACTAACCCTCTATAATTGCACAAGAAAGAAACTGTATTCAGGGCCCTCATCTGTCTGCAATTTTTATCTTTCACTGAGCAACCAATGAGACTCTCATTTACGTGTCTGCAATTGTTTTTTTTCTATAAGGTCCCTTCCCAACCACCTGACTCATGCCTGAACTCTGTATTCTGAGAAATCCCACCAGCATCCTCTAGGACTTATAACACTGTCAGATGTTTAGCTGCTATCACTAACCTCTATATAAGATGGGTGCAGACAGAAAAAGCCGATCACTCTTGCTTTTTGGCTTCTCTCTCTTTTCAGTGGTCTGTTTGTGCTTTTATTGTGTCCCTTAAAGAGCCCACTCACATATAACCTTCTGAATCTCTCTCCAGATTGCAAGACAACAGCAACAACTATTACAACAGCAGCATAAAATCAACCTACTGCAGCAACAAATCCAGGTAAGACCTTGTTCATTACATCTTCCTCCACATGCTGCGATTGGCTGCTTTCACTCATGTTGTTCAGATCAGCCCTGAAGGAACTACAAGTCCCATTGCTCCCTGCCAGGCGCCCTCTGTACATCTTCACAAGTCTCCGTGTGCCTGTCCTGACTCTCCTGTGTTTATATGACGTGAGAGAGCGAGGGAGAGTTGGCCAGACTTTGCAGTTGCTTTGGCTTTTCGGAGTCTCACTTTTCTCCTGTACTAAATGTGCCGTGTATCATTTATCCCCGGGAGGGGGGTCTGCTTATCTCACGGGCACCCTTGACATGAATATGCTCATACCCCCTAATTTTATATGTGATTATTAAACTGAGCGCTTGTAATAATAAATGTTAAAGTGGACCTGTCGTTAGAATTCACACTTCCTGTAAATCAGCGGGAGACAACGTTCCCAAAATAATATTCGGAGGAAAGAAAAGTTCAATTTTACCATAAAGAAAAATTATTGCTTACTCACGTGATGTGAACTAAAGCTCAGACTGTGGAGATCATTTCATATCATCGGAAAATGCAAAATAAAAAAAATAAAAAATGTATGTGTGTGTGTATATGTGTGTGTGTGTGTATATATATATATATATATATTTTGCACACAGTCATGGGCAAAAATATTGGCACCCCTGCATTTCTGTTAGCTAATGCACCACTTTGTGCAGAAAATAGTTGCAATTACAAATATTTAGGGATTCTCATGTTTATTTCTTTTGTTGTATTGGTATGACACAAAAAAAGTGGAGAGAAAAAAAAAAGCCAAATCTGACGCATTGCACGCAAAACTCCAAAAATGGACTGGACAAAATTATTGGCACCTTCTCCAAATTGCAAAAGATAACTGCACTCCAAGTTTTTGTGGAACATCATGCACAGTCTCAAGGATACAAGTCCATCTCCAGAGATCCTAATGTTCTTGTGGTGTATTATCTAGCAGAAATGCAGGGGTGCCAATATTTTTGGCCGTGACTGATATATGTATATAAACTCCAAAGCATTTTTTTTTTCATGTGTGTGCACAACCAACAATACTAAGCTTTTACATGTCTCTTTCATAATTGTTTAAAAACTACAGTTTCTCTTCATTTATAAAAATGTTATCTCTAAAGAGTTTAATTTGACAGTCTGAAGTAACTCAGAAGCCCCCCATCTTCCTTGGGGTAGCAGTTCATATTCATTCATCTGTTAATCTGCAGTAATGGCTCCGTGTCCGATAGAGATTTGCGGCTTCATTGAGACCGTAATAAACTCCTTATCTGTAAATTAAAAAAAAAAAAGAATAAATCCCTCTCAGCGGTGCAATTGCACACTCAGTGGACGGTCAGCCGAAGTGTCACGTACTCCTCCTCGCCTCTCTTCTGCCGGAGGCATTTTAACCTGTTTTCTGTTGTTCTTATTAAAGTCAACCCGGCCGCGGTCCTTTCGCGCCTTTCTCTTGTCTCTAATCATAAAAGCATGCACACACCGCACAGAGTAATTGAGGCGCTGAGCCTGAATTACTACACAAAATAAACAAGAGCGCCAAAAAGATTGCAGTTAGTTTGCATGCCCGCACATGTGACTGAACTCTGTTTTGCATGCCCGCACATGTGATTGAACTCTGGTTTGCATGCCTGCACATGTGATTGAACTCTCGCCATCCCTGAACCTAGATCGAACTTATTGCACATTGATGTTCAATGCATACGTGCGGTCTATGCATGGCGAATGTTCGGATAATGTAGCTGCTATTACTCCTATTTCCCTAAAGTGGACCTCTGAGTGCTCACAGCATGCGCGCACCAAGCTAAAAGGCATGTCATGATATCCGTGTGCACATGTGGTTTTATTCCTTTACGCACATATAAAAAGGTTGACAGCGCTTAGGTAGACTTGTTGATAAAATCACATTTTTATTTGGGGTCGGTCTCGGCGTAGCAGAAGCATGTTCTGACGTACATTTTCTAGCATGCCACCCTAAATCCCGCACATATTCACTATAGCCTGGAATAATCAATTCCATGAACATAGATTATGCTCATGCGCGGGGCATCGCCTCTCGATCAAACACGCGTATCCGTTAGTAAATGAGCCCATTGTTGGAGGCAGTGTTTTCCTTCAGTCTCAATCCAGTTCAATTGAGACGCGTTTGACGATCAGGCGCAGGACTGAAGGAGGTTTTTTTTTAGACCCCAGTCTGGCGTTTTTTGTTTTTCCTTCGGAATCAGGGGGGTGAAAAAAAAGAAAGGAGAGCTGTCGGAAAACAGTGCTGGCCCTTGTTGTGCCGGGCCCTCACCTTGGCAGACCCCATCTATCAGTCTTCGTCCCAGACAAACCTCGAGTTTCAAATAAACAGGCTGAAATTTATTGTCCAGGAAGTGGTGTAATTCACCTCATGGAACATTGACGTTGAATGATTATGTTCTACAAGGAGCAGACAAAGGGGGCTCTGTGCGGCCCCTGCCAGGTTCCTTCATTAACTTCTTTTTTTTTCTTCTCTTTTTTCCCCCTTCAGCATTGTCATAGTGTAGTAAGAACATTAGCTGGAGGGAACGCTGCAAGGGAGCAATTCCAACATATAATCATGGGACCCTTTGTCTCTTAAAAGTTAAAAGGAGCAAAATATTGGCAAACATTTTGTTTTTATTTATTTACTTTATTTTTATTTGATTATTTTATAGTATTTTATGATTGTATTCTTTCTTATTTTACTAAGAAAGTATACAATAACAGGGTGGGCACAGTGATAAAACACAATAACAGGGTGGGCACAGTGATAAAACACAGAGACATATGGGATCAGAGCACAGTAGAGGTAAACACAATGAGGGGAATTTATCAAAACTGGAGCAGATTTGCACTGCACTGCAGCCAATCAGCTTCTCTCATTTTCAAATCTGAGCAAACTGAAGACACCCTGTAGAAGGAGAGAGAGCAGCAGTGACCGGTCTTTATTACAGGTCAAGTGTCACACTGGCAAAGCTCACCAAGATTCCAGGAAGAATACACATGACTCTTGTATGGGGACAATATTGTTTTTCCTGAGGTTCAGCTTTAAAGAGGCCCTGTCACTGTGTGCTGCCATTCAGTGATGTATTGGTGAGTTCTGGGCCCTAAGGTGACAACCGAAGATCTGTTGTGGAATCTGACAGACGGTTTACCTGTGTGTGGCACCATGAGGACAAATCTGCCGATCTATCCTATGTGGCCCAATCCCCTTTCTTCTGCTGCCAGGGAAGGGGGGAGATCAGCATATAATAATTATCTGTACAGATTACATTTCAATAATAGAATTATAAATAAAGAGGAAACCAGAAAAAAATATGATCTGCCCATCTGTTACACATTCTTCCCATTTCCTCCCTTTGTTAGACATTCCATTCTTATCACACAAGATGCCGGGTAAAAAAACAGATCCCATGAGAATGCAATCAGAGAAAATACTCGTCTTCTCCAGCAAGCACTGCAGCTCTGCTAAAGTAAGAACGTTCACTCAACCTTAAAGTGAAACTTAACCCAAAACGGTTTTGTTCTTTAACTCCAGCTGTGGTGGAACTACAAATCCCATGAAGCATTGCACGATTCTCATAGCCACAGGCATGACTCCCAGAGAGAGATGCATCATGGGATTTGTAGTTTCACCTCAGCTGGAGGGCCGGAGTTTGGCTACCCCTGGCTAAGGCCCCATTCACACTGAGCGATTTGCGCGATATCGCTCTCCAATACAAGTCTTTGGGGCTGTGCTCGTCGCTGTCGCTGCTACAGGACCCTTTTTTTGCACGGATGTCGTGCGATTGTACTCGGTCCACTGCAATCATTTGCATGATATCGCGCGGAAAACCGTGTCTGTAAGACGCAGAGCTCTCCTCACATGTGCAGCGGGGGATTCTGCTTCCTAAATCTGCGCTGCAAAACATCCTCTGTACCAAAAACTATGCTTGGTATAAACAACGCAGCTCATTGGCATCAGGTCAGGCCGGCTCTCCTACTACACGATTGTTGGTGTAACTAGAAGAAGATTGTTCAGTAAGATTGCAAGGTGGTTGGTCAGCTTTACTCTCTGTTCCCCATCCGCAGTATACCAAGTAAGAAGCACAATCCTAGAAAGTATGCACCACACCCTACGCCATACAGCATGGACGGCGGAATGCCTCCACCTTGCTATTGTCTTCTGACAATGGCGGGTGTGCCGCTGTCAGGATTCCTGAACATTAACTGCAGCTGATTGCAGATTTTTCGGACCCAATCGTTTTTTGTCAGATGGAGGAGTGCCAACTGGGCCACACATTTGAGCCAGCAGGACTCGTACAAAATTCGACCAGTGTACAGCCAACTAATGGTCTAGCTTCCACCACTAAAATATGTTTTTTTGGTGGAGTAACCCCTTAACGTTAACTGGCCGGTAAGCTCCCCCAGTACAGTGAGGAAATCGGTGTGGAGACGGCCTGCGGGCGGTGGATGAGGGCCCGGGCACACCCAGACGCTGGTAAGAAAGAAGGACGCTCCATCCCAGCTGACACTGTGTCAGTAGCAGCTGTTTTCCTGCATCTTGTAAACACAGGGACAGGCTGCTTCCAGGGGCCCGTCCCCCCATCCCAGCCGCTTTCCCATGACTCTGCAACCTTTTCCCAAACAACTGAGAATGCCGGCGGAGCCATCGGGAACAATTGTTTCTCACAGAGCCGCAGCTGATGTGCTATCAGTTATCAGCGGGGCTCCGCCCTCCTCTGTAAGTCCGATAAATGCCTGGGAACCCTCCGATCAAACAACAAAAGGCGCTGGGGTGGGAGAGGGAGACGGGCGGAAATCGTACTCAGTGGGCTTAACCCCTCGTGCGCCACCCCGAGGACCATTTTCCCTCCATCCCCGGGGTGGTTCCTTGAGGTCCAGCCGCAAGAATCGTGCAACATCTTGAAGACATTTAACCGCCTTAATAATGACATTTTAAAGGGAGCTTAATAAGTGCGTCATTTGTCACATCGCAG